CAATAAACAAGCGACTCTGACGTTAATTTGTTTGTTTTGCCCTTCTCTCTACCTGGCTCTTTCCCTCTGCTTTGGTACTCTTTCTTTTCCTTTCCTGTTCTTCGTCCGTCGAGTCTTTCGTCTTTTCTCTTTTCTCTTTATATCTTGTCTGGTTACTTGCTCGACCAAATCTTCCGGCAAACTAGGCTACATTTAGAAAACTCTTAGAGAATCACATAGAGGATCACATAATTAGAGAACTATTTTTTCAATTACGTTACTATATTTGTTTCGATATCTCCTTTGAAAATCACCAGATATCAAAAATTTCAATCATATATATTTCTTCGTAAAATATCACTGTTGTTTATATGACAATTTTTAATTATTTAATTATTTTAAAAGTATATTAATATTTTAAACATTTGTTAGAATTATTGAAGAAATGTTAATAATATTATACTAGTGTCAATTTATTTTTATTATGAATATAAATTTTGTGTAAAAATTATATAACAGCATAAGTATGGCAAAGCAACAATTAACTTATCCGGAGAAATAATGATATGATTATTACAAGCTAAGAATAAATAAGAAATTTTATTTTGCCCGCACTATTTTTTTAATTTTAATATTATATATCCGTTGATATAATTTTTGCCACAATTTTTAATTATGTGTTATATCGTGATATTTTCTTAAATTTTCTTTCACACAAGGCTGAAGGAGGCCAGCAACAAAGAAGAAAATTTTATATAATGAATATGAATATTGATTAGCAATTGCGCAAAATTACGATCAAAGTTCTTTGTTTTTCGAAGGTAGCCCGCAATTTCGTCAGCGTAAATAGTGTTATCGCAGTGTTCGAGAACGAAACAGCAAATAATAACTTTTTTCTGCTCTTTGCTTTATTGGCTCCGACACCAAAAATCATGCTACTTTTGATTGCTCAAGTGGCAATGGACAATTAATGGATAGATGAGTAAAAAGTCGATAACAAACTCGTTAAATGAATGAGTGATAAAAATAGTTGTTCGTCTACCTTATGTCTGTCAAAGATATATGTCTATATTGATATCTGAAAATTAATTGTGATATATTGATATTTGGATAAATATAATCAAAGAATATGATAGTAAATTTATAATATATAACAATTTTTGGCAGAATTTTTGGGTTGCTAGAAATACAAATATAAAAAAATTTAAGAAATATTTATATTTTATAAATTAGAAGAACAGCTTGTCTTAAAAATAATACAGTTTAAAAAAATATAAGTTTAAAATCCAAAGATAAGCTGATTAACAAATAATTTATATGATATTAATTTCTTTGTTAATAGAGATTTTCTATTTCCCATTTTCTTACTTTTAAGATTTTTAAGAATACATATTTGCAAGCATGTCATATCATTTATTAATTAAAGTGCATGTGAATGGGTGAATTAATGCGTTAATTAAATACGTGTTAAATATATTAATTAATTAATTAACCATGACTGCTTGGTTAAAAGCAGATATAACGAGGGGTGTAAACGATGATAATTGTGTCTGATCTAACGTCATCGCGCTTTTGTAACGGGCCACCCTGCGTATAAAATTGGTTAGAATCGATCTTAAGAGCTCTGCCCGAGTGCCAGAGGGATGCTCGGAAACGGGGAACGACTTGACCTTGGCTGGATTCACGCGTAGCTGAGCTAACGCAAAATCGAAACGCGTTACTTCCACCGCGTGGATCTCCTAAAGCCGGGTTCACATCGTGACCTGCAGCAGCGGCTCTCCGGATTCTGGAATACATGTGAATGCAAATGCATGCATAGATCTATATGTTTCACATTCAGGCGAAAAAGTCGTCAAATTTTAAAAAGTATATTTTTTATTAATTGAAATACAAATTCAACATAGTGAATCAGTGGCGATTGTACATCGAAGGTCGATGCTCGACTGATTGTGCACGCGCCAAATTGATTAACAAGTATAACAATATAAAAATTCGATTAAGTATTAAATTAATTATTAAATTCGATTAATTATTTCACTGAAAGTTTTATTATTTTCCATTATTTTTTTTTTTTTACTTTAATTTTTTACCTTGTAAAAAACCTATAAAAGGATGAGAAACTATTCAAAAATTTAATTAACGTTCATAAAAATGCATATAACATAAATGTCTTGTTTTTATTGCTACAACGTTTGCACTAGAATGTCACATCTGACATATGTTCAAAGTTACTTGCTTGTTTTCTTCAAGGTCTCCTCTTCAATTAACAAGAAGCCTAATCAATATTTATACCAGATATTTATATGACGTAGAGGATTCATGCATTTCGATTCTTGCTGCTAAATTTTGTCGAGCATCTGTTGGAATTTGTTTTACTTCGCAGCCGTTATCTTCGTGAATCTTTATGAAGTGCGAAGATAACTTGAGTAAACTTTTCTGAATTTCTTACAGTTGACCACGATTGACCTTCGTAAAGCATACGGTTTTGTTTGATCGAATTCATGTGACGTATTACATAATCGTGACCATAATCTTTCTTAACTTATGCATCTTTCTTAATCGGTAGCGTATTTTTCACAAGTCATCAAATTATTCAATATAATTGTTATTCGAACGCTGTATTGAGAAATCTAATGGAAAGAGACTATCGTTTTTCTGAATCATAATATATATTTATATCGTGCAATTCTATCGATTCTATCTATTCTACTAGTGATCGATTTATGAGAACAAAGTATAATAAAGAAGAGGAATATAGCTAAAACTTTTTAGTTTTAAATCTTCTAGATACATTAGTTTCAGATTACATTTTTTGACCTAACATTGCACACACACACGCATACTTCAAAACAAACGTTTGAGCATTCAAACAAATGCTTTGATATCGTTATTCACGTTCTTTCAAACATTCTCTTCGATAAATCAATGTAAAAGCATTTGCTCCACTTTCTTCATACGACCCATTACATGCCTCGTTTCGTTCGAAAGCGATATAAGTCTAGTTTTCCAAGTTGCCAAGATCGATACACCACATCATTTTGTGTATCCATATCCAATTGGAATTCATATTGGAATTTAAAACTAGACTTACATTGCTTTCAAAATAAACGACTCGTGTCTTACTATCGCATCCTGTTGTGTCTCGGTTTTATATCTTATCGCAAGATATTTTCCGTGTGAAACGAGCTTGCGGACCCACGCACCACGTCGACAAGGGTAGATGCATCCTCTACCCCCGCCCTGTCTCGTCCCGTCCCGCGAGAAAGACTGTAGGGATACACTACGCCGAGGCACACAGAGAGGGTGAATCACCCCCGCGCGCGTCTGACGTACTCTGGCGTACATAACACCCACGGTCGGTCGGTCCACGCGTGACTAGATACCGCTTTGCACGCGTAGGGGACAAACGCCAATTATATTTTAATATCCTTCCACGTGAGACGCGCCCCCAGCTCTCGGTGCGCGAGCAATGCGAAGTCCGAAAAAATCGTGCTTCTCTCGTTCCTCTGGAATTTATTTCTGTTTCATAAAAATCTGCAAAAATTCGAAAAAATTTAGAAATCTGAAAAATCGGAAAAAACAATGACGCCGGAGAGTTTTGACAGCATAATAGGTGTATTTTTCGTATTTATTTATGGTTTACCGAAATTTTTGTTTTATAAAAATAGAAAAATTGAAAAAATTAAGAGTAAGAAAAATTAAGGAAGTATGACATACAAAAAATTTCAATATCACGTTTATCATTTTTTTTTCTGTAATTTGTTTATTATTTATTTCTTCAAAATTGATAATAATTTGAAAAAAAAAATTGAAAATTTTAAAACACGTTAAAATGTTGGAATTTAGAATAAAACAGAATACTCAGGAGAAAGCAGCAATGGAAAATTTCGATATTATATTTATACTTTTTATCTTTCTCTGCGATTTGTTGAAACTTCTGTTCGTGGAATTCGCGATAAAGCAAAGATTCAAAAACAAATCTAAAACACAATAACGCTGAAAGTTTCCAGTGGCAAACAGCAGCAACCTAGAAACTAGATTATATATTGATGTACGTATGTGATAAAATATACAATATAAATAAAAGAGAATATAAATATTTCAAAGTAAATATAATTTTTGCAAACACATGTAGAAATGTTTTATCAAAAAAAATTATTTCTCCGATTTAAATAAATTGAGCAAATTGTTATTTTTAAATATAACGATTACATGAATTTTTAACTGCCATTATTTTTATATCCAAATTATTATCAAGGTTGAATCAAGCAAGCATAAAGATAATCCAATCTTATCTGCTTTGAAAGTAGTCGTGTTATATATTTATAATTAGGAACCGGAATATGCCATAGCGGATAAAATCACATTTCATTCAAGTCAAACCACATCATTGCTTAAAAATGCGGTATTATTTAAATCTACTATATATATATATATATTTTTCGGTCATTGCCAGATATTTCACGGAGCCAACGAGATTCATGGACCCATTAAGTTTATATTTTATGAAAATTCACAAAAGTTGGTAAATTATACATTAAATCATCATAATTTTTAAGACTTGATCGATTGTTGCAATTAACAAAGAAATATAGAAAGGAAGACAAAGATAATTAAGAAACGTCGGGACAAGGAAAGACCGAATCACATCGGTCTCTCATAGCGATCCGTTTCCATCTGACGCCGCGCGTCCCGACGTATATTCTCTTTCCCTGCGATGCAGTGCGCGCACGTTGTCGAGCGTGCGCACTGCACGAACAGCACGCGCCCTCCGATGTACCTTCCGCACGGTTGAGCATCTCCACCATTCAGAATCGATGATGTCACGAAGCGGAGCCGAGATCCCCACTGCCTCTCACGTTGAACTAGCAGAGAGGGAAGCTGCGTCCTCCGCCCATTGGTCCAAGAGCCAGTCGAATACGTACCAACACGAGGCTGTGGCTACCACGGCGGCACGACCCAACGAGAGTCCGCGAGTCGGTGCGTGCCAGTCCGTGCGTGTGCTTTACCTAATAATATTTCCACGGCTAGTCCCTCTCCTCTTGCACCCGATACACGCAACTCGCACCCTCTGTTCTCTCTCTTCCTCCGCGTCTGCACATGTATGTAGGATATATATATCTCTCTCTCTCTTTCTCGCTCGTAGTGTTAGGCGTCCTCGCGTAGAAGCTTTCGCGTCGCGGCCGCCCTCCTCCGCCCCGATCTCGCCGGACCTCACGAAAGCGAGAGAGGAGAAGAATCACGCTGCAGAGCAGCACGTGTGCTGCACTCGCGCGGATCGGCAAGCGCGGTGGTTATAGTCAATCGTTCTCTCCACCACCGAGAGCCGCCGCGCCGATAGTCCATGCAAAGTTGGTCGTGATCGAGAGACTGACCGGCGATCGAGAAACTGACAGCTATAGGTTCGATTAGCCGCAAGAGTGAAGGGGGATACGTGAGAGCGAGCGAACAATTCCGATTAGAATGATAGATCGATCCGCGAATCGAATCGGAGTGTTCAATCCCGCGCGAGTGACCGTAAAGACAGAATAAAATTCGCGAATCGCTCGGAGACTGTGATTTATATATGCGAGGTGCGACGAAAAGAAGACTAACTAACGGATTCGCTAGTGGTGCTTTCGCCGAGCAAAGGCATCGGAGGGAGGACGGACACCGTCGGCCGTCGGCAGCTCTTGGTATGTGATCACGTGTTTAACTCTTAACTGGTGACATGTAGAATCATTTCTGTCGAAAATTCATTAATCCTTTTCATTCTCGTATCACTGAAGATTTAATCTTCAAAGTTGCGTAATCTTATGTTCATCCAAATAAATTTTTGTATCAATTGATATTCATAAATTTAATTATAAGAATAAATATGACCTTACGTCATCACGATGTACTCATAGCACAAGTTAAGAATTAATTAATTAATTGATTCAAGTTCTTTGATCAAAAACCATAAAAAATAAAAAAACAAAATTAATTAATTAATTGCGCTTTGCGATATTTTAAATCTTTATTATTCGAGTATTCAACCATTTATTTTTTTTTTTTGTATCCGTTATTGTTGGTTCACTTTAATTGGAGAACAATTGAAAAGAAGAAACTTTTAGTTATGTCAAATCATATAGATTTTCCAGTTTTTGTCATTCAAAAGCTCATATGCGTCTCATAAAATTCGTTCATTAATATGACATATCAACGCGATTTCAATAATTTTGTGTGAAAATTTTCAACTTTTATGTTTTCATTTCTGCAATAGAACTACGAGATAAATTTCTTGACAATTTATGATAACATTCTTCATCGATAAAATTAATAAATTACATTTTTAGCAAACATTGTTAGCAAAATAATGCGATCAATAGCACAGTGAATATTATAAGAAAAATTCAGTCATTTTAAAAAGAAATGTATCGGCAGCAAAATTTTTATTTTTTGTTCTACAAAGAATGTATTTAACACGATACAAATACGGATGTTTATATATGCTTTGCGACTAGATTTTATTCATTTAGTATCGCATATAATAAGTATTAACATTTCTTAACATTTTTGTTTTTTATTGATGTTGTGTGCTATAACTATTAAAAGGAATAATTTAGAAGACGTAAATTATTACGATAATCAATAAATAAAAATTGATATTTTACACGCAATATGTAGTGTAGGTATTTTAAAAATATCTCATGAGAAATTATTGAGAGAGATATAAATACTCAGCATTTTGATCGTAGCAAAACTCTTTATTCTAGATTCCGGCACTAGCACTTTCCGGGTATCAAAGTTATCGGATATCTAAAATGTCTTCGGCAGTATCCATGGCGCATCTTTAGATGCAAGTATGCTTGACTAATTGAATACCACGAATGTTAATCGCCTGTTGAAAGCAAACGCGCGCGTGAATCCCATTGGTTCATATTGCTGATTAACACAGCTCGGTATCAGCACGGCAGAGGAGTGCGCGTTGCGCGCGAGAATGCAGATTGCATGCACATAGCGCATAATACGGCTTAAAGTGTAGTATTCACCCTCTCCCGCGAACATTGCTATACCGGAGACGAATGCGATTGAATAGCGCGTCGAATTTCCGTGTATATAGGACGCATATTTACGTATATATCTCTCTCTTCATCTTTCTCGTTTCTATACACTATCGTCTCGTAATATCTCTGGCTCAGTTTCTTGTCCTCCGCGTCTCTCCCACAGTCACAGTATTATGATATAATTAGACGATATATAGGCTTTATACTATAGCGTAAAATACGTCAACGAATGAATGAGTCTGCCTGAATGTCGAGCGTACAAGTGTGGACGTCCTGCGGTGACATCCGAACGCGCATTGTGAACATTTCTTCTCAGCGTCGTGATGGCGCATTGTGCGTCGGCTTCTGTAGTAGTTCTTTGCGGTAGAGAGATGTGAGTGATTCTCTAATAGAATAAGTATACAACATCAGCGGTGTTGGCTATTTGTTGGCAAATGACAGACTATATAGATTATTGGAGCAATTGTCTCTTGATCAGTTTTCCGTAAGAATTCTTTAGAAATACTAGTTGAAAATTTCTAAAAAAAAATACATTTTTCTGTAACTTTATTTATATCCTATCTTGAAAAAGGCATGTCGATACTCGCATTTATTGTCGCTGCTTTTCTGCGACGCCGATTGGTTATCTCGATACGTGTTGTGCGTTATTTCGTGCTATCGAACGATTGTCGTTGCGAAAATTGTATAGTGCAGGTTTTTTTTATCACTTTTGTGTTTTGTAGAAAATATTCAAAGTATCTTCTTAGGTGGAGTTATATAATATGTATATATATTTCTTTGTAATTAAAAGAATAAATAGCGCGCGTTATATACACGTTGCGTGTGTCTAGCATTTAAATCAAAAACAAAATTAAGCTAAATATCAAATATCTCTTCATATAGTTGATTAAAAATATTGATAAAATAAATATTATACTTGGAAAGTTTCAAACACACATAGTTTTTCGTTTGCTTAAAATTTAGAAATGCAAAGTGAAGAACATATTAAAAGAAATAATCATGATATGAATAAATGTAAGAACGTATACATAAAGATGCAATGAATCATGCTGTGTTGCTCCAAAAATTTAGAAGCTAATCTTCACGAAAAAGCGCGAAAAGTAATGCGATGAACGCTGAAAGCGACTCGAAAATCCGAAACGGAAAGCTTAAGTAACAGCAAAGTGTTACAAAAGACCGGAAAATTGGCTGCTAACCTCCTTATAGTACAAAACGCAATTGCATTAGATTGAATTGTATTATGTTTCGAAGGAAGCCTTCCGTAAGATCTATAACCGTTTAACGCCTCGTTAACTGTTCATTATTAACGTGCCGTTAAACAGGAATAGATCCTATAAACGACGCGCGCGAATTAACGTTGATCAATGAAATGTCTTTCGACAGTCTACATCTGGAACGGATTGAGTCATTACGTATTGGCCGATACTAAAGCAAAAAAGAATGAAAAATATCATTGATAACACACGTTAGCTTTTTCGTTGCTGTTTGATTAAAAATTTCCTGTAAAATTATGAAATGTCTGTAGAGAAAATTTTTTTAGGCTATGTATATATTGCGATAGATTGTAAAAATTTCGCAACAAAGTTATAGAAATGCTATATTAGTAAATACAAAAGAAGGAATGTATTTTGATTTTTGCATATTAAAATAATATTTATTAGAAAAAGTTAAATTTATATCATATTTTCGTGATTAGTTTGTCTTGATTATTGCAGTTATTTCATAGAAATCTATGAATTTTTCACTTTTGCGTTATTTTTTTTATGTGAAAAGAAATGTATGTTTATCAAAATTGGTTATATAACGTTTCGATTGTATACATATATCAGTCTTTCTTTAAGATTTAACAGAAACAATGTTGCGTAAGATTGGTGATAAGAAAAAATGTGTGTTAAATGCATAAACTTCGTAAAAGTAAAAAAACAGATATTTCAAACCAAATTAATTAATTCCACACAAGCTGCGTACGCTACGATAAAGCGATTTATCTCTCAATCGTCCTCGGTTACGCGATACAGTCATTATCTCCGGTAATACGCGACCTCATTCTTTGCCGGCGTAATTAATAATTAATGCACAAACGCGTGTATACGTGCTCACGACGAATGTAATCGCGGGCGGAAGTCACTTTATACGGTAGTACGAGCGGTTAATGCCTGCGGGGGTTGTTGGGCATGTATTACGGGGGTGGATTTCGACGGTAGTCGCGGTAGCGACGGCGGTGGGTGCCATTAACAGTGTTTCGCCGGAAATGTAAAGCATAATGCGCCGGCAGCTCGTGGATATGGAACCTATTACCATCCGCGTGTATAATACCACCACCCGCCCCCGTCTCGTTGTTGCACGTTGTGTCTCACTGCGTCGCGTTTGCGGAGCGTTCAAGAAGGGTTCAAACTTGTCCCGCGACAACTATGAGAGACTCTCTTCCGCATCTCGTTCGTGAAAGTATCTTTACCTCCGAGTTTATGACCACTCGTGATTGCATTTACAAAAGTTCAATTCTCTTTCAATTTTAACAAGTTTGTCATTTCTTTTTTTTTTTTTTTTCTTAACTAAAAACAATACATCTGTTAGTTTATTTTTTTTTGAGCAATTACCTTTAAATTATAACTTTTTTAAAAATTTGCAATAAAATGGGTCTTATTGTAACATTAACGCGATTATGAAAACTGTTTCATATTTAATGGATAACATATAATTCTTAATTTGATAAAAAATAATGCGATCTAATTATCAAAGTATTTAATTTCTTTATTTATATTTAATTACTTGAAAGGCAAAGTTTTAAAAAATTCTTGTGATACGTGTAAAATAATTTTCGATTTTCTGTTAATCGCGCGATATCTATGTGATCTTCTCGGATTTGAATCGCGTATGACTGCAAAAGAAAAACGCGACAATCTTTCGGAAAACCGCTGTACTGATGACGATTCAGTGCAAGATAGAATCGAGTTCGAGTTCGCTAAATCGACAGTTTGGCGTCTTGCAAACAGAAGCGACGTGATCCTGTTTGCGCTCAGTCGGGCATAATCCGAGGTAATCCTCTTGCACAATATGCGAACGCGATGCGCTCCACCCTCTCTTACTCTGTACATATACATAAACGTATACGTGCCTTTCGCGCCTCTCGTTCGGCTCTTTTCCCTTTCCGGCTGCATCTCATCTCTCGCGACGTTTTCTTCGCGCGAGGAAGCGTTCCTCTGTATTGCAACGCAAAGAGCATCGTGGATAATGAAAGGGAAAAAGGGGGAAGTGTCTCGCAGACGCGTTGCCTCGCATTGAATTCCTTTGCGACACAACTTGCGGAAGCGAATCATCTTATAAATTATAACGTAAATTTCATTCGATTCAATGAGTCTTGCGTAAACATTCTTGCGAAAGAGATGTCTTCGCGTTAGTTGTGAAGCGTTTTCCTTTTGCTAACGTTTGGCAAATGGAATATGTTGCATTTCGTGTATTAATGCAAATAACAGATGTGTGAAGGATATCGTCATCGTTGTGATAAGATTTATTCCTCAAACTGAGTTGTATTATGTAACTGTATTATATAATATGCATCTGAATGAATTTTTCCAACACATTTGTCATTATTACAAATTTAAGAGTTCTTTTTCATATCATGCTACGTGAATGTTACTTGATTTTTAATCGTTACAATGCATTATACAAAATATAAATGAAAAAGTTCCAATGAACGAATGTTATATTTATTTTCTGCAGCATATTTTGTAATTTTATTAATAGCGAAATTTGATTTTTACTTTCTAAATTAAAATTTTTTTTTCATTGATTGCTTTTCTTGTTATATTGCTTTTCGTTCTACGTGTTTTATCCATGAAACGATACACTTCATACGCTTTCAACCAACTAACCCTTTTCGACATTAATTATCGCGCTTAGCTCCATTTTCATCCCCTTCTAGTATCACCAACTCTCACTTCACCCTCTCTTTTTCTGTCTGCGGTGGTGAAAGATACACGGAGAGTGTTACGTACGCGTATAGTTCACATCTTCAATAAGCACGATCCTGGGTAATTAAAACACTTCATATCGTCAATATTGTGGTGTTCAAAATGACTTTATACGGCTTTCATTTCAAGGATATTTTACGTTGTTTGTATTTAGAGTTGTAATTTGTAAAGATCAACTCGTACATTGACAATTGTCCACGATGAAAGAAAGCTAAAGAAATGAAAGATAGCTCGATAATAATAAAAAATTAAATTAAAATAAAAATTATTTAAACATTTCTATATATTAAAATTTACCAGCAATTTACTTTACAGCCTGACGTATAAACTATAAATTTTCGGTATTGGCAGTGAAATTGCAACTGTGACATATATGATGATTACACATATTTCTTTTTTTATTGCGCGCTTTGTTAACGCAAGGTTGAAGTATCAGCTATAGATACGTTGCGGTAGGATAGGAACCGAGTGTATAGAGATAACGACGCGAAAAGAGATCGGTCGCGTTTGTTTGCTCATTCAAGGCGACTGCGTGGCACACATGCGATATGCAAATGACGCAGATTTACACAGGTGCCGTCGATACGCACAGTTTTTGAGTATACGGCACCAAATTAAGCTCGTTGTTTTATTCGATCAAACAGTACAGGCGAGTCGTCGAAACTGTAAAGTGTTGCCGCGGACAAGCTATACAATTTCTTGTTAATCGCACTAATTAACCGAGATTGTTCCTCTTTCAACGTGCATTTCTCTCTCAGAAAATATTCTGCTGTACTGCGAAATCAGAACTTTCTTGGTGTTAATATCGCATATTAAGTGGTTAATAATCGAATCTTTCGAATGGAAAAAATGCTATAACTGTTGTGAGTGATATCGAGATTTTCTAATGATATTAATTATGTGTTTCAGTGAACGGAAGTGTTCAAAGGCCCGAAGATTCTGCCTTCGCAGCAGCTAGGCGCTGCGGTCGCTCCATGGCCGGGCGCCACCGGCCTCATAGCCTCAGTCACTGCTGACGACATGGCACATAAAGGTAAGTCAATGTCTCAATATATAATTAGAAAATTCAAATTGGAAAAATTTCGATGTCGATCAATCTGTGCACCAAAAATTGTTTTATACATGTACGAACCAAAGTAATAATGGACGTTGAAATAATGTGCACAATTGTGGAAACTGTCAGAAGCACTAAATAATCGATTAACAGCAGATTATTTTACACATATATTACGTAGCAACTCCTCTCTCTCTCTCTATTTTCAACTCTTAATTATTAAATCTTAAGTTTTCTCTTCTAACTCTTAATTCATAATTTTCAATTCTAAAATACCCAAAGACGAAACTGTCATTGATTATATTATTTAGAGTAATTTTTATACAATTTGTGTGACTAAATCTCTGACAAAAATAGAATAAAAGTGAGTCAATATTTTGAAAGCTGTGATAGATGATAAAAAAATGATATGGTGTGCAAACTTTGATACATCGGGAAGTTTCCGAATATGCCTTTTTATGATTCTCGATTATATGTCATTTTCCAACCGGCATTCCATTACTACGGAATATCATGAGAACGATTATGGTAAAACCTCTATGGAGGCGGAGCTCCCGTTAAGAAGCATAAAACTTAACGATCTTTGGCCGATGGTTACGAAATGCCAATGGCATATAACCATCATACGTGCGACGAATTCTCTTTCTGCAATTGGCGCTTCGCATTAACGATGCTTCATGCGACTTGCATAAAACTAATTCCTCCCATTTAATTTAAAATAAGTGTTTCGTGTATTTCTTCATCATTTGTTAAACATTTACTTTATTTCTTGGTCTTATAATTTGCATAAGATATAAAATTATCGGAAATTATTTTTATAATTTGGCACGTATGAGAAATTATTCCAATTTAATGGAGGAATTTATTCTCGAAATAGTGATAAAAATGATGAAAAAACATTATAGTTAAGCATGTACGAACGTTCCTGAGGTGAAATAATTCCGCGTGCGAAGGCTTCGCGTATACTTTTATCATTTATTCGCGAGACGGATTCTCGATGTACGTAAACTATGTCCGGAGATATTACGGATAATTCGAATTCTAGCCCCGGACGAATCGAAACGTCCGAGAATCAAGAGGGAGGCGTTCGGTTGATGGCTAAGGCGTTTAACCCCATTAGTCCTGAATGGAACCTCTCGTCTCTCGATCTCCCCCTCCCCTCTCTCTCTCTCTCTCTCTCTCTCTCTCTTTCTGTCTCTCTCGTTTTCTCGCATACCCGCCCCCTCTTTCTCTCTCTCCCTCTAACTTTCTGTCACTGGCGCTTCCTTCGCTCTCGCCTGCTCGAGCTCTCTTAACACAAGGGTCCGAAGAGGATGGGCAGACGACGTCTCAAGGCTTTCTAAAGCCGGCAACTTCTGCCTGAAACTGGCTGCTCACTTCACGTATTGATTTCCATTCTCTTACGCCTTCCAACGCTCCTCGCCCACCTCGCTACGTCCTCCGTGTCCTCCGTTCGTTCCTTCCGCGGGATCTTTCGTACCTCCGCTGATCATAATTTCTGTCCTTTGACATCTCAGTAGTCGTTATATAACTCAGCTAAAACGCCAGGCTAAAGAGGAGCAAGCGACGTCTTTTTATTAGATAATTCGCATACTTCCTTTCCTTAATTCTTGTACTTCGTTGCAATTGTTCAAACGTGCTACGAGTTTTTGACAAAATATATTGAGAAGTATTGATAATTCATTACATGAACTGTTTTTTCTGAGTGTTTCACAAAGAAAACTTTGATTTATTATTATTACATTGTATAATAATTTAATTATTATGTTCAACTTTCGACAATTTCGTCCTTATCTTGCTTGTTATTTCAAAGTTTGGATAATTTCGGATAGCTAAAAATATTCACATACAGTTTTCAGGAGCATAATTTAAATCTTTTTTTTTCTTTGATGTACATTCACATGTATTTGCAACAATTATATTTTCTTTATGGTCTGTGTATCATGGTACGCGCAAAACGTGTTTTTTTATATTTTTTATACCGATTGTAAAAAAAGTTTATTGATATAAAAAGTCTGGAATCAATTAAAAATTTTAATGAATATTTTTTATATCCCAAAACTATTTTTAGATTTAATTATTTTGCAGTAATAATTTACTTTGTTAAAGGAATTTAATTCCGCTTGTTTCAAACGTGTATTTATTTATACAGGATTTATCATTTTAACAAATTGCTGCAAATGCTTTCTCATCAATCCTAAATTCTTCTATTCGCATACATTGTAGTGCATATACATTCTAGATGAATGGATTGGAAATAAAATATTACCACGCTATTATAAAAGTTACTTCAAAAACAATTACTTTTTTTTTGAGATAAATAGTCTGTAACAAGCTGACGATTCCCTTTAGCGCGAAAAATTCCGCGAAGGTTCACAGCGCGGGCGGCAGCGCGGATTAAACACCGCGGCGGCGCGGAATCCACAAGTGAGGAAGCGATCGGAGAATCTGCAGAGTGCTCGAAAATCCACGAGTTATCTGACCGAGTGCGGCTCAGTGGGGTGTGTAGCGTTAAGTTGGCGTTAGCTCATCGAATCGCCCCGGATAGAGCGACCGCCGCCGCCTCCGCCACCGCGGTGCCAAGAGACGAAGGTTTGTTTTGATCGATCGCACGTACAAATCGTATTTCCGACCTCGCTTCGCAGGCGATGACAAATCCGCCCTTCCTTATTTTCCCGACGGAATCGCGCGAGAGAACCACGAATTACTCGCAGCCAATCGATCGTCTTGTCGATCTTTTATGCCTGCTTTACGTCAGGCCGAGATAATTCAGGTAGCAAATTAGGTGTTTACTTAATTTTTTTTCGTTGAAAAAAATGAACAAGTAGCTTGCCACTTCACCTTTTTTTGGAATTTATGCAACTTTGTCATTGCTGTAATGTGCACTATCATTTCTTCTGTAACTCGGAGCAATCTGTACTTTTGACGATAAAACAGTCGCATTTTACAGCAGAATTATGTAATTGTTATTTAAGATTATATAAAATATTGATCAGCTCATTCATCTTGTAGAGTCATCAAAGCAAAAAATTAAGGCCATAAAGTGTTAGTAATTAAAATGACGTGGGCAGAAAGCATTTTTATTGCGCTAATTTAATTTTTCTCTGGACATAGTTAATATTATGCAGAAAAATTATTTTTGCTTTGAAAATTATGACATGCACGATTTGCATAAAAATAATTATTGGATATTCTAAAAATAAATTAAAAGCAGAATTAAATTGTTTTTATGTGACCATTTCCATATGTTCATAATATTCGCATCGCTCTCCACGTTTGTAAAATACAACGCTAGTGGTATCTATTTGTAGGTGTAGTATTTATTTCACATAAGTAATACCATTTTTATTAACCACACTGCGCGTAATTAAAGTTTAAGCGCGAAAATTTTTTTAGAGAGACGAATGAAGATACTTGGCGTTTGATTGAGATAATATTCGATGTGACAATATCAAATGTGTTGACATTCATCGGTATTTGCATCGTTATTTCATTGTTATTTGCATCGTAACGAATTCAAATCAGATTTCTGTTTGTTGATATAATATGCAACCTCCATAAATTTTTTAGCTGCATATTCGCGGGTAATTTTTGCAGAATTGCAAAGCCAGTCGGCGACATTTCCAGTGAAATATCTACGAGATAGTATTTAACAAAGTTTTCACGTTGGGAGGGTTAACGCTTCAAACGGCGTTCTGCAACTTTCGAACTAACGATGGTCTCTTAGCCGTAATTCCTGATGAGAGTTTCCAAAGTTTGGCAAATCGTCGCGTTTCCGCACATTTGTCCTGCTCTGTCGCGTAAAACGAGGAGACGCACCTCGTAGTTGTCGCGAGTAATCGCGCGTGTAACTTAGCAACCACATTTCCGAAATTATGGTCGCAATTTTTTATGCTTACTTCTTGTTTATCGCAAATAATTTGCTTCTTTAAGCATGATTATATCTGAAAATAATATAATTGACTAACACTTAACTTTTTGAAGAACAATTTATATTATATACAATGTTTAAGAGAGACCTAAATTATATTAGAATGATCAGAAGTAAATAAAAAAATATATAAATATTTTATTACGATCTAATACTGCATGTATTAAATTTTTTCAATTGATTTGTATTTAATTCTGAATAATTATTTTGTGCTCAACTTGTTGCAAAAATTTTTCATAAATGTAAATGTTAATGGCATTATGTGTATCAGAGTATCGCTCGAAATCTCACAAATTGCTACCAGAAAATCCACTCAGCGACTTTACGGCAGGTAGCAGAGGTGGTATGCTTTCTGAAGAAATCCGGAAGTTTGGCAAATCGTTCGACCTCCGTTTTATCGCGTGGAGTCGGCTGTCAGCACGACATTTCGCCGACGACGAATCAACCCCCCCCCCCTCCTCCCCGTGCAGGAGCTGCTTTTACGCGTAAGGAACGATGGTGAAGGGTGGCGCGGTAGCGAAATAAGAATAAGAAAGGATAGCGCTTGCTTCGTCTCTTCCTTCTCATTCTTTCTCGATAAGTACGAGAGGCAAGTCAAGATAGAAAAAGACAAAAAGAGAGCGAGGAAAAGAAGGCAGAATAGGAGGAGGAGGAGATGGAGGTGACGGCGGGTTCTCCTGAAGCATTGATCGTTTCTGAATTCCGAGTAGATGGCAACCCCCGGGCGGTTCTTCACCCTCCGGCCTTTCTCCCTCGAAGCCTCAATATACGTACTCGTCTTTCGTACGTTACTGCGGCGAAGGAGGAAGAGCAAAAATATGAAAACGCCAGAAAGACGGGGAGGGCGATTGGTATAGAGAGAGATAGACGGGGTGCGCTCTTTAAAACGGTTCTCTCATGCTCCTCCAAAACAGCTAGAACTCCTCCGCTTTTGATCCCGCCGCTTTTGCTTCGTCGACGACAGCTTGCACCGCTCTTATTCAATTAATTCATATCTCCCAAGCTTTTTCCAAGCATAGAAGCGCATCTTTCAATGCTTTTTGTTTAG